CATGTGCCACGCCTGCCACGCTTTGCGAGCCCGAAACGGATAGCGACCCCACCCCCAGCGCGCCCCCTGTGGCGTCGAGCATGTGCCACGCCTGCCACGCTTTGCGAGCCCGAAGCGGATAGCGACCCCACCCCGAGCGCGCCCCCTGTGCTGTCAAGGATGTGCCACGCCTGCCACGCTTTGCGAGCCCGAAACGGATAGCGACCCCACCCCCAGCGCGCCCCCTATCGTGTCGAGGATGTGCACCCTCTCTGGTGTCGAGAAAGTGCCACCCCTGCCACGCTCCCCGACCTTGGCACGCATAGAGACCGCGCTGAGGGACCACCCTCTGCGCACCAATTCTGGTGTAGAGAAAAATGCCACCCCTGCCACGCTCTGCCGTGCCGTGCTCTGCGCGCCAGCCCTGTGTGCTATGCTGTGCTGAGCTGTGCTGTGATGTGCTGTGCGGTGCCGGGCTGAGCTGAGCTGTGCTGAGCTGTGCTGTGCTGTGCTGTGCTGTGCTGCGTTGAGCTGTGCTATGCTGTGCTGTGCTGTGCTGTGCTGTGCTGCGCTGATCTGTGCTATGCTGTGCTGTGCTGTGCTGTGCTGTGCTGTGCTGTGCTGCGCTGTGTGAGAAGGAGAGAAAGGTGAAGTGTGAGTGTCGCGGGTGCCGCGCGGCAGGGAAGAAAACCATAACCCCACGAAGCATGTGGGAAAAAAATGCTCACCTGGGTTTCTTGGGTTTCGGTGGCTGTGTTGTGGAAGGCGTGACGTTCCCACACCGAAAATGAATGGACGTCCTGGGGTCTCAGGGTTGGGTTTCTTGTAGATTTGCGGTCGGGAAGAGCGCGTTCTGTGGTCGTTTGGAGGGGGGGGGGTTGGAACCGGACCGCCCCTCCCCCCCCCTGGATGGAGGGGGGGGTTCGAGCCCCCCCCCCTCCCGTGACGGAGGGGCGGGGGGTTCAACCCCCCCCCCCCTCCCTCCCCTGCTTCCCCTTTGCTCGGGCCGGCACTTGTGTCGGCGGCGGCTGGCGACGGCGGCGGGGACGACGATTTCCATTTCTGGGCCGGCGCCGGCCGGCGCCTGCGGCGGCGGGCGGCGGTGGCGGGGAGCGTCGATGAGGACGGTGGTGGTGGTGGTGGTGGTGGGTTGTGGTGGTGGTGGTGGCGGTGGTGGTGGTTGTGGTGGTGGTGGTGGCGTGGTGGTTTGGTTGTGATGGTGGCGGTTGTGGCTGGTGGTGGTGGTGGTGGTGTTTGGTGGTGGTGTGGGTGGTGGTGGTTTGTGGAGGGGTGGGGGGGGTTGGGGTGGTGGTGGTGGGGGGTGGGGGGGGGGGGGGGTGGCGTGTGGTGGTTTTGTGGTGGTGGTGGGTTGTGGTTTGGGGGCGGTGGTTTGTGGAGTGGGGCTGGTGGTGGTGGGTGTGGTGGTGGGGGCGGTGGTGGGGTGGGTGTGGTGGTTTGTGGTGGTGGTGGTTGTGCCTGCTGGTAGTGGTTGGTGGTTGTGGCGTGTGGTGGTTGTGGTAGATTGGTAGTGGTGTGGTGGTGGGTTTTTTTGTGGTGGTGTGGTGGTGGTGGTGGTGATGGTGAAGTTGTGGTGGTAGTGGTGGTTGTGGGGGTGTGGTTGTGTGTGGTGGTGGGTTTTGTGTGGTAGGTGTGGTAGGGTTGTGGTGGTGGCGGTGGTTTGTGGACGTTTGTTGTGGTGGTGGTGGTGGTGGCGGTGGTGGCTGTGGTGGTGGTGGTGCGGTGGTTCGTGGTGGTGGCGGTGGGTTGTGCTGCTGGTAGTGGTTGTGGCGGTGGTGGTACTGGTGGTGTGGTGGATTGTGGTGGTGGTAGTGGTGGTAGGTTTTTGTGGTGGTGGTGGTGGTTGTGATGGTGAGTTGTGGTGGTGGTTGTGGTGGCGGTGGTGGCTGTGGTGGCGGTGGTTGTGTGGTGCTGTTGGTGGTGGTGGTGGTGGTGGGTTGAGGTGTTGGTGGCGGTGGTAGTGGTGGTGATGGTGGTAGTGGTGGTAATCGTCGTTGCGTCCCCGCCGTCGCCGGCGCCAGCGCCGGCGCTGCTGGCCGCCGCCAGCGCCGGCGCCGGCGAGAGGGGGGGGGAGGGAGATTAAGATATTTTATAACCAGAACGACAAATTCCAACCACAAACCGGTTTTTCACAACTAGAAAACTCTTCCGTTCAGGCTTTTTCCCACCAGAAGGGTTTTTTAACAACTCGATTCGGCGTTTTTGCAACCAAATGTTTTTTTCCAACCGGAGCGACATTTAACAACCGCGCTTCTAAGAGGCCTCTGGGCTTCTGAGAGGCCTCTTCTGGGAAGCCTCTGAGAGGCTTCCGAGACGCTTTTGCGAGCTTTCTGAGACGCTTCTGCGAGGCCTTTGAGAGGTTTCTGAGAGGCTTCTGAGAGGCTTTTGAGAGGCCCCTGGGAGGCTTCGATTCTAACTTTTAATATCCGTACCAGTACTATCATCACCACTCCCACTCCCATTGCTACTACTACTATTATTATTACTACTACTACTACTACTATTACTACTACTACTACTACTACTACTACTACTACTACTACTACTAGTAGTAGTACTACTACTACTACCAATACTATTACTACTACTACTACTACTACTACTACTGCTAGTACTACTAGTACTACTACTACTACTAATACTAATAATCATAGTCAGGTGGGAAGTATATAATGCATTACTATACAACACAGCAACTACACGCACTACTACTACTACTACTACTACTACTACTACTACTACTACTACTACTACTACTACTACTACTACTACTACTACTACTACTACTGCTACTGCTACTGCTACTGCTTGAATTGCCACTAGTACTACTACGTCGAGTGCTACGACTACTACGAACACTAGGACTACTGCAACTGCTAGAACCACTGGTACTATTATTGCTACGACTACAACTACTACTCCTACTACTCCTACCAACACTACTACTCCTACTACTACTACTACTACTGCTACTACTACTACTACTACTACCTCTACTACTACCACTACTACTACTACTACTACTACTACTACTACTACTACTACTACTCTACTACTACTGCTACTACTACTACTACTACAACTTTACTACTACACTACTACTGCTACTACTATTATTACTACTACTACTACGGCTACTACTGCTTCTACTACTACTACTACTACTACTACTACTACTACTACGACTACTACGACTACTACAGCTACTACTACTACTACTGCTACTATTTGAATTACCACTAGTACTACTACGTCGATTGGCACGACTACTACGAACACTAGGACTACTACGACTGCTAGAACCACTAGTACTACTATTGCTACGACTACAACTACTACTTCTACTACTCCGACCAACACTACTACTTGTACTACTACTACTACTACTACTACTACTACTACTACTACTTCTACTACTACTACTACTACTACTACTAACTACTACCACCACTACTACTACTACTACTACTTACTACTACTACTACGACTATACTACTACTACTACGACTACTACTACTACAACTACTAACTACTACTACTACTACTACTACGACTACTACTACTACTTTTACTGCTACTACTACTACTACTACGACTACTACTGACTACTTTTACTACTACTGCTGCTACTCACTACTACTGTTACTACGACTACTACTACTACTAACTACTACTACTACTACTACTACTACGACTGCACTCCTACTACGACTACTACTACTACTATACTACTAGTACTAGTACTAGTACTAGTACTAGTACTAGTACTACTACTCTAGCTAACTACTAACTACTACTGATACCTAGTAGTAGTAGTAGTAACAGTAGTAGTAGTAGTAGTAGTAGTAGTAGTAGTAGTATTACTACTACTACCACTACCACTACCACTACTACTACTACTACTACTACTACTACTACTACTACTACTAGTACTACTACTACTACTACTACTACTACTATTACTATTACTACTTCTACGAAAACGACGACCACTACTACTACCACCGCTACTGCTACTACGACAACGGCCCCGACTACCACGATTACGACTACGACTCCGACTGTTCCTCCTGCTCGTTCTTTTCCTACTACTGCTCGTGCTCTTACTATTATTATTATTACTCATATTACTTCTAGGATCACGACTACTACTACGACTACGATTACTCCATCCATCACCTTCACTTGAGGGCTTCTCACCACAAAGAGGTTTTTTGCAACGAGGACGCCGCCAGAGCCCAACGTGGGGCCTTATGTGCGACAACGATTTTGAGCGATTGCAACACAGCCGCCAATAGTAGTTTTCCACTTGCTGGCTGTAAATCAAAAGACCTTCCCGGTTGCAAGAAGACCTTCCGGACGAATCTGAGCTGGTTGTAAAACATTTGTTTTGGTTGCAAAAAGGCGTTCTGGTTGCAAAAAGACCCCGACGCGGGGGGGAGGGGGTTTGAACCCCCCTCCCCGGCGCCAGGGAGGGGGGGGTTTGAACCCCCCCCCGTGAGGTGCTTCTGGTCATCTTCGCTGCGTCCCCGCCGTGGGCGCTGCTGGCGGCCGCCAGCGCCGGCGCCGGCGCCGGCGCCGAAGGGGGGGGGGTTTGAACCCCCGCCCCCCAGGTGGGGGGCGGTGTTCGGGAGGGGGGGGGGTTTGGGGGGGGAGGGGAGTTTCCCCTGGTTTTGATCGACGGCGCCGAGTGTTGGGTGGGGGGCCCACCCCCTGGTTTGAAACGCGCCGCCGAATGTTCCCAAGGCAAGCGCCCGTGAAACGCGTTCTCTCTGCGGTCGAGCCCCTACTGTGCCCACCAGACCACCCCAACCCAACCCGAATGCTCCAATCCACCCTCCATTCCCAGTGGGGCGGGGGCATCGGAGAACGTTGAAGAAGCATGTGTGGAACGCGTGCCCCCCGCAACCCGAGTTTTGGGTCTTCGGGTTGGGTTGGGGTGGTCTGGCAGTGAGTCCCCCCGCCCCCGGGCGCGCGGGCGTGGCGGCGCGCGCGCGCGCCAGGAGGCGCTGGCGAAGGTCGAGAATGAGAGCCGCCGCGCGCCGCGGGCTTTCGCGAGGGGCGGGGGTCAGAGGAGCAAGAGGTGCCCATGCCGCTACCCTGCCGTCGTTTTCTTTCTCTTGGGCCTCATGGGAGGCCCTCGTCGCCACCGCTGGGTTCGCCCAGAAATTCTCGTCCGAGCGCACCCTGGGAGATGTCCAGGGAGCAGCGGCGTCGGTACCTGTTTGGTTTCCCCAGGGGGGTAGGGCTTCCTCGGGGTCCATGCCTCGAGTGTTTTTTTTAGCGCGAGGCGGACCTTAGCAATTACAGTCGGGGCGTTGAAAAAAAACCCTTTTTGCTGGGGAGGGGCTCAGTGTTCTTTAGTTGTTTTGCAGTTCGCCTCAGGTATTCCTTGGGCCTCCGATGGGACATCGAAGCTTAACTTCTGGAGCAGAAGGGCCTCGTTCCTTATATTTAGGGTTCCTTAGGTCAAAGCCCCAACTCTAGGCTGCAGCGTTCTTGCTTCGCGTCCTCCCTCGTCCTCCCCTCCTCCTTGAGGAAGCACGGGCATGGGCCGCGGCGCGTGGGCTCGCGAGGGCTTCCGTCTCAGTGCCGACTCGGCGCGCTCCGCCACCCAGTCGGGCGGCACCGGCGCCAGTTCTCGGGGGCGCCGTCTCCGATCGGTGGCTCCGGCGACCGCGCACCGGGTCCACGCAGCCCTCATCCAGGCTGGAATTTGCCCGACCCTCGTCCCCCACCGTCCTCCTCGCTCCCCCTCCACCTCCTCTCCCTCGTCCCCCCTCCCCCTCCCCCTCCTCCCCTCCTCCTCCTCCTCCTCCTCCTCCTCCTCCTCCTCCTCCCCCTCCTCCTCCTCCTCCTCCCTCCTCTCCTCCTCCTCCCTCCTCCTTCTCCTCCTCCTCCTCCTCTCTTCTCCTCCTCTCTTCCTCCTTCTCCTCTCCTTCTCCTCCTCCTCCTCCTCCTCCTCCTCCTCCTCCTCCTCCTCCTACAGGGGCGGCTTGAAGAGACGGAGGGGGCCTCTGCGCGCAAAACCAGTAGCCGCCCTCCCCTCCGATCCACCGGGGTCATGGGACCAGAGTCGGGACCCTGCCCGAGGGTCCCGCCAGATGCAACCTCTCCCTACCCTTTGAAAACCAAGGGTTCGCTAGGGACTGGCTTACCCCCAGAGCGACAGAAGCCAGAAGCCCTTGCAAGATCCCCCCGGAACCCTTCGAAAGCCTTCCCGGAACCCTTCCCAGAGGGTTTCGGAGGGTTTCGGGAGGGTTTCGGTCATTTTGAATGATGGGCATGTTTTTCACCACCACCACTATAAGTTGGAGGGAGAGGGGGCCCTCCACCTCCTCCTCCTCCTCCTCCTCCTCCTCGTCCTCCTCCTCCTCCTCCTCCTCCTCCTCCTCATCATCATCATCATCCTCATCCTCATCCTCATCCTCATCCTCGTCCTCCTCCTCCACCTCCTTCCCCCCTCCGACTTATGGTGGTGGTGGTGGAAAACAAGCCCATGATTGAAAGGAAACCAGTCCCTAATTAGCGAACCCTGGACTTTCGAACCCTACCCTCCACCCGCCTCTCAGGGCTCATTCCGCTCCCCGCGGCCTGACTTGGTTGCGATCCTGGCGGGCCCGATCCCCGCCGACTTCGGCTTCTCGCCCAGCCAGTGCGGCCCGGTGCTCGCCCCTGCGCCGTGGTGCCTGCGGGCGCGGCCGATCCGAGCCGGTCTTGGCTCCGTGCCGCTGCAGCCCGGTGCAGTTCGGGGGGTCGCGGAGGTGGGGTACCCACCGGCTTAGTGGGCCCTGGAAACGACAGGGCCGTTTTTTTACCGGTTCCGTTTCGCCGTTTTTTTGCCGGTTCCGACGCCGTTTTTTGACCGGTTCCGTCGCCGTTTTTTGACCGGTTCCGGCTCCAGTTCCGATCCTGGAGCCGTTTTTTTGCCGTTTCCGGTCGCCGTTTTTTTCCCGTTTCCATTTTCAATGGACGTTTTCCTGGAAACGGTAAAAAAAACGGCCCTGCCGTTTCCGGGGCCCACAAAGCCCACAGGTCGTTGCAAGTAGGTATTTTGGGGTTTCCAGATGCCAGTCACTTTTAGGCGCCTTCCTTCCTCAAGAGTCGAACGGGTGTCCCTCTTCCCTCCTCTTCAGGGGTCGGGCGGGAGCCAAATCTACTTCCAACGCCTTCCTACTTCATGTGTCTACCCACTTCTTTCGACCAGTGGGTAATCCCCAGGGAGGGTTAAGGAACGAATCCAGTTGGACGCTCGCATCTCCTTGTTTCAGGAGCCGTTTCGAGATGTTTCTCTTCCCAACCACACTTCTGCCCCTACCCCACCTCTTTACGTCCCCCCATCCAGTGCACAGTGTCCGACCTCGTCCGATTTGCCGATTCGATGCCGACAGATCCTGGCATCCCTTCGGAGGTGTTCGGTTTTTCCACGTGCTCCGCGTGCCTCCTTGTCCCATGTCGAGTGTCTGCCTGAGGGCTTTCCCGTCGCGGGCCGACTTTTTCACGCAGTGCTCGATGTGTCCGGAGCTGCCGAGGTGCGTGCGCCACTGGGGATAAGTGGGCGCCGTGTTTCGTTGTTCAGAGAGCCCGTTTTCTTCTCCGTGCTCCTGGTTTCGGGGGCCCCCAAACGGTGCGGTGACCACACCGTGCGGTGAGTCGGTGGGGATTCGGGGTCACCTTTCGGGACTCGAGCCCCTCTCCGAGGATGTCTCGGGCGCCTGGGGCCTCCAGGGTCCCAGAACCGTGCGGTGACGGACCGTGCGGTGACGTCTTGGGGGATTTCGAGGTCACCGCACGGTCTGTCGCCGCACTGTCTCGGGACTCCAAAGGGGTGTCTCTGGGCCCATCGGCCGCGCGTTCCTCCTCTGATCCTCCTCCTCCTCCTCCTCCTCCTCCTCCTCCTGCTCGTCCTCCTCCTCCTCCTCCTCCTCCTCCTCCTCCTCCCTCCTCCTCCTCCTCCTCCTCCTGCTCCTTTTCCTCCTCCTCCTGCTCGTCCTCCTCCTCCTCCTCCTCCTCCTCCTCTCCTCCCCTCCTCCTCCTCCTCCTCCTCCTCCTCCTCCTCCCCTCGAAGTGGCCCGTTCTCCCCTCGGCCGCGCCTCGCCGAGGTCCCTGCCCCTGCGTCGAGCGGCGCTGCTGCGCAGCACGGGGCCCGCGTGCCGCTCTCTCCTCCTGCTCCTCCTCCTCCTCTCCTCCTCCTCCTCCTCCTCGTCTTCGTCCTCCTCCTCCTCCTCCTCCTCCTCCTCCTCCTCCTCCTCCGTTCGTCCTCCTCCTCCTCGCGCCGGAGGTCAAGTCGGGCCTGCCCCCCTACAGGGGGACTCTCGTCGAAAAAGAAAAGACGCCCCCCAAAATAGTCAACCAAAGAATTCATTCAAAAATAGTCAGGGGATATTATTTTCTGAGCATATTTTTGTTATTTTTCGTCGGAAATCCCCCTGTAGGGGGACACGCCCGACAAAAGCCTAAGGGTGCCACCTGCGCTCGTCTCTCGGAGGTGGACGGACCTCCTGCCCCGACACGTCGAGTAAGGACTTGGCCGCTTTCGGTTCGCGGGAGGGCGTCGCAGCCTCTATCTTTGCGGGCCCGGGTCCGCCGGTCTCGGTCCCAGGCCGTTTTCACTGAGGGGAGGTTTGCTAAAGGGAGGTTTGTCCACCGCCGAGTCTTGAACACGTTTCGGCAGTGGCCTGGCGGTTTTTTTTTTGGTCGTTGCCGTTCCCTGCTGTGGCTGTCTGCGTTGGCTCGCACTGGCGGCCCCGCTTGAGGCTCTCCTGTGTCGTGTCGGCCCGAGGTGCCGCGCCCGGGCCACGCTGTTGCCGTTCTTTGCTGTGTGGCTGTCTGCGTTGGCTCGCACTGGCGGCCCCGCCTGAGGCTCTCCCGTGTCGTGTCGGCCCGAGGTGCAGCGCTTGGGCCACCACTGCGTCGAGGACGCCCTCGCCGACCAGGGAGGTCTGCACGGCCTGCGGCAAGCCAAGCGGGCGCCCGATCCGACCGAGGACGACCGTAGGGGGCCACCTGGCGAGGCGCAGCCGCCGCCGCCAGGGTCTGCAGAGCGTGGACCAAGCAGGGCTGGACCTGAGCGCTGTTCTGCTGGACTTCCTTCGGCTGTGCTCTGTTCTTCGTTTCGGCAGGGAGGCATGCAGGAGAGCAGGTGGAGCCAAACGAAACACAGAACGACGGCAGAACGAAAAACGACCCTGAGGTCCAGCCCTGGAACCGAGTCCGACGACGGAATCACCGGCTCTGCGGTGAGCGCCGTCACGACACCAGCGGGAGGCGGCCCAAGCGAGCCACGGGCCAGCCGCGGAGGCGATGCCTCCCGTGGCAGGGGGCCCGCGGCAGCGAGGAGTGCCTGCCTGCCTGGGCACGCCGGCGGGCCGTGCCGGCGTGCCCACGCATGCTGCGGCGGCGAGCGATGGGGGGGGAAGCGAGAAGGAGAAGGCCTTCTCAGAAGATTCGGAAGCCCCCCAGCCTTCTGAGAAGTTGTCTAAGCCTTCCCCGATGGCAGGGGAAGCTTCTCAGAGGGCGCGAGGGCTTCCGAGAAGTCCCGCTGCCGTCTGGGAAGGCCTTCGCCCTCTCACTTCCCTTGGTAGTCCCCAAACGTGGTGGTGACAACACCTGGCGGTGAGTCTCGGGCGATTTGGTGTCACCACCCAGTTTGGGGACTCGTGCGGTTTTCCGAGGATGTCCCGAACACTGGTGGGTCCAGGAGTCACAGAACCCGGTGGTGACCCCGTGTCCCCAAACCCAGCGGTGACCTTTTTGGGGATTCCAGGTCGCCACCTGGTATCTCACCACCCGGTTTGGGGGTTCCCAATTCCCCCCCTCGCTCGCCGCCGAATGCTGGTGGACTGTCCGCGGCCGCGGCCAGCATTGTAGGGGCCCCCCACCTGCCACCTCGCCGAACACCGACAGAGATGGATGGACGTCCTGGGGTCTCAGGGTTTTGGTTTCTTGTGGAAGGTTTCTTGTGGTCGGGGCCCTACTGTAAGAAACGGGAGGAGGAGGACGA